GTACGTGCCTAGAGAAAAAGCGATGTGTTGGAGGGGAGAGCGTGTGTGTACACCAGTGCGTGTGACTGCAGAAGGAAACTCTCTGCCAATATGGGAGATTTGCCTCCCGGTATCTCTCCGATCTGCGGCAGTGTGGCTTCTGTGGGCATTTCACCACTCGCATCTCGTAGGTTCTGGCCTAAGAAATACGCGACGTGTGAAAAAAAGCGTATTGCTTTAGGTCGCAGATCTTGGATTGCTGCCAGCTGGGCAGCAATTCGTGAACGCGCGCCATGTAGTGCGTGCACGTGGTGGCTGTGTTAAGAGCGTGGTTAAACAGAAATGAGACTACTAAGCACCTTTAAATTCATAGAATCATAGAGTGGTTTGGGTTGGAAGGGACCTTTAAAGGTCATCTATTCCAACCCCCCTGCAATAGGCAGGCACATCTTCAACTAGACCATGCTGCTCAGAGCCCTGTCCGACCTGACCTTAAACATCTTCAGAGATGGGGCATTCACATCTTTCCTGGGCAACCTGTTCCAGTTCCTCACCACCCTCACAGTAAAGAATTTCTTCCTAATATCTAATCTAAATATACCCTCTTTAGTTTAAAACCATTACCCCCAGTCCCATCACTGCCCTCCCTGATAAAGGGTCCCTTCCCATCTTTCCTGTAGGCCCCCTTTAGGTACTGGAAGGCCACTATAAGGTCTACCCACAGCCTTCTTTTTTCCAGGTGGAACAACCCCAACTTTCGCAGCCTGTCTTCACAGGAGAGATCCACCATCTGCATCGCATCCTGTCTCTGCAGATGATTTGTGATAAATGCACCTTCAGGATGGTACAGTACCCATGCTGGAATGGATGGTGCAATTCCCCTCTTTTAAAAGTGATAAAGAACAGGCATGTAAAGAGCAGAGCCAAAAGAAAATGCTGAGGGCCGTTTTCAAAGAATACAGGCTCTGTAAGAGAAGAAAGGGATTAGAAAGGCACCTGTCATTATATAGTGTGTCTTGAACAAAGCCTACTATTTTTTTTCTGGTTTCCTACAACAGAATCTACTCTTTAAAAAAATATTTCACAAAATTAAATTCATGGAAGTTGGAGAAACAAGTCCTTGCGGGCAAGCTTGCACTTCCTAACCTCTGATTTTAGTGTTTCTTTCTCCTGAAGCTCTGACTCCTCTCCAGAAGGAGCTCCTTTCCTTTCCCATCTCTTGTCATGTTTGCCTTTAAGTTCAAGTCTAGGTTCTACAAGCTAGGAATCATGCTTGTAAAATGCCATTCATACTGCTGCTGTCACAGTAATAATCTTACTCGGGCGTATTTGCCCACCTGAAGGGACTGAAGATTACTGAGGATCAGAAGGGTAAGGCTCTGGAACAGTCTTCTGATGGCTACAGAAGCAAAATGCCTATGTAGCTATTGGGCTTGATCAGCATGTGTGAAATTATAAAATATTGTCTTAAATGTCTGCCTACAGGGGAAATGGACTTGATGGCACATGTGATCCCCTTGTCCTGTTTTTTCACAGTGAGTTGATGGTGGCCAGTCTTTGATTATACCTCCTAAAATGTTGGAAGCAGGATAAAGTCCTATCCTCTTAGTGCTGCTGTTTGACTTCCCTCCCCTGTCACGGGCATACCATTAAAAGGAGGATGAACAAAACCCATTGCTCATGTTAAGCACTCTGGATCTGGTGGAAAAAAGTCCTTCAACAATCTTCAACCAATCCCACTGATTTCAGATTCAGGTGTGCCTTACATCTAAGCTTGCTAAAATATAGATTACTGTCTTACATGGTCCAACTCTAGTAGTACTGAATTTAGTACTGAGCTTTCCTCAATCTCACTGCTTGTAAGGAAAGTGACAGTCACGGCCTCTGTGAGTTCACAGAGAAAGTTACTTTGGTTGTCCCTGTTCTTCTCTTTTTGCTGGTGTTTTGAACCATAGGAAATAGTAGTGATTTGAAAAGTAGTCATATAGTAAAGTTTAAGAAAACACGCAGTTGAGAGGTATGCATTTTGCATAATGTTAACATCCCTCAGTCGAAAGATATTCCCAGATACCTATAAATGAGAGAGAAAACCCATTAAATAAATGCAGCAAAATTAGAAAAGAATCAGGCCTCTTGTGACTGGAGAAAATGCTGAAGGACAAAAATGGATTTTATCTGCAGAATATAATGTTAGTTAAATAGCACTAATTTGAGGTTCATATGTGATCAGGTATATATAGACATGGAACAGGGTTCAAAAGAGCAACAAGAAGGACTTTCTGGCTGCTGCTGTACTATCAAGACTTCTGCAACTGATTAAAAAATGAAAAATTTTGTAAATGAAATCCAAGATGAGGTCGAAATATGTATCATTCTTCAGTGTCCAAATGGAGAACACAAGCAGCCTTCTTTCTTTGCCCGGTGATGAAATACTTGAACCGAATGCCAATTTTTGTGTTTAAATGGATGAAATTAAGTGATGCTGTTAATATGTAAGAAGAGAAACACTGTGCTACATTCATCCAGTTGTACAGCTCTTCTGAAGTTGGTAGGGTTTGCCACGTGCAAAGGGAAAGCTCTTAAATCCTTCCTTTCCTCTGCTGCATTACAGGCTGCGTTCCTGCATGTCATGCCGTACTCAGGCCTGCAAGGATGGTTCAGTTTTGGCAAAGGGCTTGATTGTGTCAAGGTGTCATTGCCACCGTTGTGCTGAAATTTTGGAAGCAGGGAGTGATTTTCTACTAAACTGCTAAAGCAGTTTAGAAATGGTTATGGAGGTTCTGCGGATTCTTGCTTGTAGTAATAAAATACCTCACTATCATTTAAATGACCAAATATAAAAATACCTTGGAAAAATCAGCATAGTAGTATTGTAGCAAGATGCCTGTCGCTGTTTGCTGCAACAGATGGAGCAGATGTTCAATATTGCGCTGGTGAAGCTAGCAGTTGGTTTTATCCTCCTCATGGCTTACAGGGACACTTTAACAAATGTATTGCATTGCTTGTCATGCATGACAGAAAATCTACAGT